ATTTGACCACAGTATACATTTCAATGGAAAAATTGATGCCAGTAACATCCTTTGACGGCCTTCCCGATTGATTTTTTTGCTCAATTTGGTGTCAATGAACTAGATTTGATGAAGAACATACACAAAAAAATCAACAAAATATATCACCGGGAATCACCTCAAATTCAGGTGGCCGGACCACCCCCTGTCCGCTCTGACCGGCCAGGAATATTTGTGTATATATGAGTAGTATTCCTGTCCGGCCAATTAAGCCGGACAGGAGGGTGGTCCGGCCACCTCAATTATGCCATTTTTGTCATCTATGGCATTTTAAACAAAAAATTGCATTTTTACGCCGATCGGAGTTGATGGTGCTGGGAGACAGTACAGGCGGAGGGAAAGACATCCATATTTGTTTTATAATGGATTTTTACTATTTTTTTTATTAATTTTCATTTTATTTAAATATTTTTAAAATTTTTATTTTATAAATATTTTATTATTTTTTCATTATTTTTCTGTTATTTTATACTCCTTCCGTCCCGGAAAATTGTTCCCGCATTGACTTGGAACGGAGTTTAAGAAAGTGGGAATAAAGTGGAAATATATGGTTGGGGTTGAGTATGAAAAATGTAAATGAATTGTAGCCACAAAAAACTTTTCAAAAGGGAAAAGGGGAACAATTTTTTGGGACGGCCCAAAAAGGAAACAGGGAACAATTTTCAGGAACGGAGGGAGTATTGTTTATTACGATTTTATTATGAATTGAAACATTTAATTATGGATTTTGACAACATTTTACTCATATTTAAAAGAGGAGTAAGAACGGAACGAGAAAATACATATGTTTCAAAATAGGAGTAATATGGTTCTATTTTGGAATAAAAACAAAAGAAGTCCTATTTTTATTTTTATCCTAGTTTTACTTCTATTTGGGGTAATTTCTATTGATTTAATTCTGTTTGGCATAAAATTTGTTGGTACTACGTGCATGTTTGGAAGTGTAAATTTCTACCTTCTAGCTTTTGTACTTTAAAAAAAGTATTATTGCTTCAAAAAAAAGTATTAAAGTTTGTACTTGTATGTTTGACATGTTAAAAATATTTTGAAAATTATTTAAGAGCTTTCGAAAGTTGCAAAAAAACTTACATGACGCATAGTTTATAAATAAGTTCATATTAAGAAATTCATGTTTTTACTTGTACTTGTTTGTTTGACATGTTAGAAATATTTCGAAAATTGTTTAAGAAATTCCCAAAGTTGTGAAAAACTTACTTGTTGTATAGTTTATATATAAATTCATAATAAACTTCTACTTGTATGTTTATGTTAAAAATATTTAAGAGCTCCCCAAAGTTGCGAAAAACTTACTTGTTGTATATAAATATATTTAAAATAGCTTGTATATCAATGTTGTTTAGCAGCTCCGCTGTAGCAATTAAATTGGAATTGAAAGCCACCTATGTAGCACCGATACCGGTACACGGAAACGCGGAAACGCGGAAACGGGTACGGGGATACGTCAAAACCAAAAAAGGTAGGATACGGATACGGGGCCATATTTATAAATATTAAAAGTTATGGGGGTGTATTTACAAATACTAAAAGTTATAGGGGTCTATTAATAAATATTAAAAATAGATTTTTTTAAATATATATATATATACACATATAATATCCTATGATGTCTACCTATTCATTGCTTTGAAGCATTTTCCCTTTTCAAGATACTTAGTAATAAATTCATAATATTTCTCATATACACTAGTCATCTCGAAATATAAATATAGTCAATAAGTCATTAATTTAAAATGAGAAATAAGTCAAACAACTACAATCTTGAAATTAAAAGTGCAAGTATCCAATTCGGAGTATGAGTTAATCACTTAATTCGGATATAGCCATATAGGCCCATTATTTGATTACCAAGTAAAATGTAGTTTTAGATTTTCATTTTTTTTAGAATTTTATTAAGTAAATTTTGAGATTTTTTTTAAAAGTTGATACGAGTATCCGTCAGGATACGAGTATCGGAAACTTTCAATAAATTACAAAAAAAAATGGAAACTTTTAAAAATTGCAGATACGGCCCGGGAACGTACGGTACGGGTATCCTAGAGTATCGGATACGGGAACGTATCGGATACGCCGATACGCTACCCTAGCGAAGTATCCGTGCTTCATAGAAAGCCACCTCATCCGGGTTCGACTCCCGGCAGCGGATTTTTCGTTTTGGCCAATTAACGATCTTTTTATTTTCAGCCTTACGTATATTCCATATTAAATTAAAAATTTGTTCAATACGGACTATTTAGCACTAATTTAGTTCTTACACTATTTTAAGACCGTGCATCGATATGTGAAATTAAGATTTAATTAGATCAATGTTTTTAGAAGTACGTAACTAAAATAATCTCGTTTTCCTACATATTTATTCGGTTTATAGTACGTAATCTAAATTTATTCATAACTTAGCTAATTGTAAAATTGATTGTTTTTTACATCATATACGTAATATAATTTAGAGCTCATTTGATAACCACATTTTTTGGGTTATTAGGTTTATCAGTCAACTTTTTTTTACCAAACATGTAGATTTTGATTATTTCGCGTGTTAAATTGTGTAATAATCTGAAAAACGTAGAGTTAGGGTCACTTTTTCGGATGTATTGGCTGAATTTTAATTATGTTTCATATAATTTTTTCTTTATTTAATTAATAAAGTATATTTTAAATATAATTTTTTACATAAATCAGCAAAATCAGCCAATGGAGTCACTTTAGCCAGAACTTCATAAATTTCAACAGAATCAACCGATTCAGTCGATTTTGATGTTATCAAACGGGATCTTAATGTGATACAAAAGCAAAATAAACTTGGTCTAATATTAAGCCGTTTGATAATACTAAAATTAGTTAAATCGTCTGATTCTACTGTAATGAATTAAATCTAACTGATTATACTGGATTAATGGAATCTCCCGAATTATGCAAAAAAATTTATATATATACTACGTACTACCTCTGTTCCAATTTAGTTAGCCAATCCTGACTTTTCCAGTCAAAGGTGTTACACTTTGACCAATTATTTTAACTAATATATTTATGAAAATATTAATAATTTTATACTTTTAAAATAGTATTTTCAACAAAGAAATTTTTCATATAATTTTAATATCATTAATATATATAAAACACTATTTTTTTCAAATATTTCTCATGCAACATGGATTAAAAAATAAGTATTTTTAAGTATTTTAAAAAATAGTGTTTTTTAAAATATACTTTATTAATTAAATAAAGAAAAAATATATGAAACATAGATTAAATGGTCCTCTACATTAACTTCAGCCAATACATCCGAAAAAGTGACCCTAACTCTACGTTTTTAGATTATTACACAATTCAACGCGCGAAATCAAAATTTACATGTTTGGTAAAAAAGTTGATTGATAATAAACCTGATAACCCAAAAAATGTGGTTATCAAATGAGCTCTAAATTAAATTTGTCTGCCCGGCCAGAGATACTTGGCTGGATTTGTTGTGCGCCAAGTCAAATTTTAAAATCGGAAAAATAGTATATAATCGCGATTTTAAACGATTTTTTGCGATTTCAATACGATGCTTTTACGATTTTTTTAAATCCTGATTTTGGAAGCGATTCAAATTGGTCCAGTGTTAATAATCGAGTTAGATTAGATGACCAAGGTCTTCGGATCGTCTCTCGCTTCTCTCTAGGGCTTCGGCCGCTTGGAGTTTTTTTCCCTCTTCGATTTTAATCAAAGGACGACCGCTTTTTCCGTCTTCGATTTTAATCGAAGGACGGCCGTTATTTCCGTCTTCGATTTTAATCGAAGGACGGCTGTTGTTGTTTGTGCTTCATACTCGAAGGACGGATTTGCTGTCATGGCTCGAGGAGATCGGCGTTGTGGTCAAGGTTCGAGGATTATGTTGTGACAACGCACCCGAACGTCCTTGAAAATTTGATTTAAAAATTCAAAGTTTATGCATTGAATTTCCGATTCCCAAACAAATGTAAAACGATTAATGTTTTACGTAATTAATGACCGATTATTGTATTGTTTGAACTCGTATATTAGTGTCGGTTTTGCAAATACTTATTTGGGCCTTATTAATGAACATAAGAGCCTAACATTACCTAAATAATGTTACTTAATCTTTCAAGACGATTTGAGGAAGGTCGGGCGGCCCAAACATTATTTTGGGCCCAACCTGCTAAAAAATAGCAAGTATTCGAGAATGGCGTCCTAGACCCACTCGGGAGTGACCCACACGGCTAGTAGCCCAATAATATGTATGACAAATGTCAAAATAAGTGATAGAATGATTAGAGAAGAATACAAATGCCTATAGCCCCATCTTTGGCATTATTGAGCTAAATAATGGGAGTAGGATTTTCCTTCTATGATATCCATCAAGTAAATTATTGAGATGAGCCTACACATATTGGAGATCAATAATGTGATGTAGGAAGTTGACTTGTTCTAAATAAATTAGGATGAGTACAAAAAGACATCTTTGACAAAAGATAAAACAATAGGACCCATCTTCCTATTTTTGGAAGTATTGGTACATATTTTGGATCCCAAATTAATTGGGATCACTTGGAGAGCACCCACACCTTCTTGGCACCTGCAAAATGAAGAGAATAGGTTAAAATTCATGGTTGGGGCGGACAAAAAGGGGAGGGGGCTGAACAAGACATATTTGAGAACCAAATGGACCCTCCCCCGATTTTGATTGAATGTACCTTGCTCCATCATCCCACATGGTAACCCACTCCTACCCTTTGACCTTTGAGGCTAAGTTAAGGACAAGATAACACTCCCACAACCCCCCATTCGCACTCCCAAATATAATAGAGAAGGAGAGAGCCACATACTTCAAGGGAGAGGTGAAGAGAGAAGCTGGCCGCATGATTCGTTTTCCAGTAGATAGGGTTACTTGTTTGATCCATAACTTGAGCTTCACTCTTCCAAATAAGGCGTATAATATACCAAAAGAAATCTCTCAAGACTAGGAATCCGTGAAAGCCTGGTTTTCATCAATCGGAGTAGAGGAAGGCTTCCTAATCGTCTGAGCAGAACACGATCTCACAGAAACGGATTTACTCTTCTAAGTGAGTTTTAACCCCGAAACCTTTCCTTTCATTTCCCAAATGATATGAACGATTTGTGGAACTATTATACACTACTCCAAGTGTATAATATGTCCTTATAAAGTTATTTTATTGATATAAAGGTTAGATACTAGCCTAGAGCAATCTTGGAAAACTAGGAAACGAGTTAGCCAGAAAACACCCATTCTAAGGGCTGTTTTCGTATCAACGATTAGGGGTTGAACTAGCACTTTGAGGAGGCTGTTTAACACTCATTTCTAAGCAAGGAATAATTTCTCAAGCTTCCTTGGCCGAGGCTTTGGTCATTGGATTGAGAAGGAAAGTTTTAAAGCTCATTTGAGGTGAGGATTGACATCTAATTGCTTACAACTTGTAGGTTAAGCTTGAGATTACCTAAATGCCTAAATCATATTTTTTCATGGATTATGATGATTAAATATTGATGAAATATTGATATAGTTCCCAAAGAATGAAATTGGAAATGATTTGAGGATGTATGAATAATATGAGATTAAATGAGTTATAAATGAACTATTTTGTGAAATAGGGATTTTACTCATGTATGAATTATGTGGATACATAAATGAACATTTACGTATTGAGATTGAATATTTAAGTTGCTGCCACATAATGTACATATGTAGGAAATTACAAAATGAGAATACTTGTATGATAACAATAATCTTAATAGTATTGAAATACTAGTTAGTGATTATTGGAACTTGTTGTTGAAATTGATCCTAGGGATTGGATTGTATGAAATGCACTTGAATATACTTCAAGTCTATATGATGACTTAGTATGAAACTAAGGTTAAGTGGTGGGAAGTCTTTAAGGATGACCCATGGTAGTTTATTGATATGTCAATTCTAGGCATAGGGTTGCTTAAGGATGGGACCTTCATGCATGGTGATGTGATAGAGCCGAGCTCTAGGATGCATGGTAAGGTGGTAGACTTGTAGTCTATGTATTGAATAACTAGAGCCGAGCTCTAGGGCTTGCGTGGTGATGTGATAGAGCCGAGCTCTAGAATGCAAGGTAAGGAAATTGACCTGAGTGACATGAATTGTATGGTGATGTGGTAGAGCCGAGCTCTAGAATACAATGTCATGTATTAGATTTGAACTCTATGAGTTGTCGTGGCTTATAGCCACGGGGAATGGGAATGGTGATTTCTAAATGAACATAGGCCCACGGGCCGACTACTTGACTTTTACATAAAGTAAGTATCTATTATAATCTAAAAGCAAAATGATTTTGGGCTAAGTTTCCCCCTCAAAAACGTCACTGTCAATTCATTGTTGTGTATTGCCGATTAATCCAAGGTTGGCTGAGGGCCTGATGTTTAAATAACGTAAAGTTAAGCCCCTGGGTGTGACCCTTTGTAGGAAACGAATGGATGGAGAAAGTTTAAACAGTGTATAGATTTCTTTAGGATTTTTTAACCCACTATGCGTGATTCTCATTGGATGGTTTGTTGTTGAACAGTAAAATTAGTACCGATTTGGTCACTGTTCTGAATTCAAAATTTGAATTAAAGTTTCCCCCCAAATCCATAAAAACTTCTTATTGGTTCAATGATAAGTGAACAGTCTGGGGGCTTGCTTGGCCTTTCATATTTCACGGTTATAAAAGGAGGGATACCCATGTTATAGCACCACACTCATAAGTACCAAAGAAATCAGAAACATAAACAAGTTTTCTCAACAATGGTTGGCATGTGGTACCATTCCCAGACATAGACCAAAGTAAAACCACTTGGGCCATCAAGACTAAAGAAATACGGGTTTACCGAGAGCCGGCTCGACTCACGACTGTCTTCCATAGACATTGGAGGATGTCTTTCATGAAGAGGAGGTTTGCACGTTTTATAGTTACCATTTGTAAATTTTTTCATCTACTTTTCTCAAAAACGATTTATGCTAACAACATGCTAACAACATTTCAAATTTCAGGGTTCCAACATCCATGATGCATGCACACACTCCGGGCCAGTTTATCAACAAGTTTATCTGGATTTTCAAGGAGGGTCAAGTGTTTGCGGTCAAAAACTTTATGGTGGAGGAATAACATTAGGGCAGTGAAAAACTTTAATGAAGTGCACTTGATGAATTAGTAAAATCAGTACTTTTTAAAAAACGTGCATGGTATTAATATTCATTTAAACCTTATGTATATGTATTGTGTTAATAAGAAACTTAGTAATGTTAATAAGAAACTTGGTTATATTCTCCAAGCTATGCGTAGAGGTGCGTACCTGTGGTCTGTTCCCGATGGGCTTGCAGAAGCCTAAATCTACACTATATCTAATTATAACATACATTTATTCAGAATGGATAAAAACAAATGACAAGTAATATGAATTCTTCAGGCCGGAATTCTAAGTAACATCCAAGGAATCCCTGCAGTTTCAATGAGAGATTCTGACTAAAAAATCAACAAATTGCAAATCCTGTTTGGGACAATTGTAAATAATGAAGAGCTAGGGTTAATGTTCAAAGTATAAACTCAAAATATGTCTGTTAGAAATTCTCAGTGTGCAAGAAAAAACCATAATTTTTATCATAATGTATACCATATATGTCACCCCCTGATTGGCTGGCATGTCTGGGGCAATTAGTTTCACCCGGGCACTTCTTATTAGGGTTTATATCGATAATACAAACATTATTAAAAAATTGTTTTAATTGATGATGCAAAAATTATCACCCGCCAATTTGTTTCACTGGGCATCTCTTATAATGGTTTTTACTAATGATATAACACACGTTTTCTGTTCTATAATCTTATTGTGGACATGTACTTCAAGTTTATTGGTGCATTTTCAAATCCAAAACAAGGATTTTAGTTGACAATTGGGATGATCTTAATCAGTTCAATTCAATACTGTGAAGTTTAAAAACAGAAAGTGGGCGGGTCCCGTCTAATTAATTGAGTTGGGTTTTTCTACTGAAAGTTGTATTTCGCTAAGTCTAAATTTAAATTTTTTTAGTGAAAAGAGCTGGTGGTCTCTGGATGGTTCTTAGATATTAGTTTTTTTTAATTAAATTTAAATTTCAAAAAAAAGTTTTTCAGCATTAAAAAAGATACCGAAGACATATAATAACCAAAGGAAAATTAATTGACTTTTCAATATATTCTAAAAAAGAGCTAGGGTTAATGTTTAAAGTATAAACTCAAAATATGTCTGTTAGAAATTCTCAGTGTGCAAGAAAAAACCTTAATTTTTATCGTAATGTATACCATATATGCCACCCCCCTGATTGGCTGGCATGTCTGAGGCAATTAGTTTCGCCCGGGCACTTCTTATTAGGGTTTATATTGTTTTAATTGATGATGCAAAAATTATCACCCGCCAATTTGTTTCACTGGGCATCTCTTATAATGGTTTTTACTAATGATATAACACACGTTTTCTGTTCTATAATCTTATTGTGGACATGTACTTCAAGTTTATTGGTGCATTTTCAAATCCAAAACAAGGATTTTAGTTGACAATTGGGATGATCTTAATCAGTTCAATTCAATACTGTGAAGTTTAAAAACAGAAAGTGGGCGGGTCCCGTCTAATTAATTGAGTTGGGTTTTTCTACCGAAAGTTGTATTTCGCCAAGTCTAAATTTTATATTTTTTTAGTGAAAAGAGCTGGAGGTCTCTGGATGGTTTTAGATATTAGTTTTTTTTAATTAAATTTAAATTTCAAGAAAAAGTTTTTCAGCATTAAAAAAGATACCGAAGACATATAATAACCAAAGGAAAATTAATTGACTTTTCAATATATTCTAAAAAAGAGCTAGGGTTAATGTTTAAAGTATAAACTCAAAATATGTCTTTTAGAAATTCTCAGTGTGCAAGAAAAAACCTTAATTTTTATCGTAATGTATACCATATATGCCACCCCCTGATTGGCTGGCATGTCTGAGGCAATTAGTTTCGCCCGGGCACTTCTTATTAGGGTTTATATTGTTTTAATTGATGATGCAAAAATTATCACCCGCCAATTTGTTTCACTGGGCATCTCTTATAATGGTTTTTACTAATGATATAACACACGTTTTGTGTTCTATAATCTTATTGTGGACATGTACTTCAAGTTTATTGGTGCAATTTCAAATCCAAAACAAGGATTTTAGTTGACAATTGGGATGATCTTAATAAGTTCAATTCAATACTGTGAAGTTTGAAAACAGAAAGTGGGCGGGTCCCGTCTAATTAATTGAGTTGGGTTTTTCTACCGAAAGTTGTATTTCACTAAGTCTAAATTTATATTTTTTTAGTGAAAAGAGATGGAGGTCTCTGGATGGTTCTTAGATATTAGTTTTTTTAATTAAATTTAAATTTCAAAAAAGAAGTTTTTCAGCATTAAAAAAGATACCGAAGACATATAATAACCAAAGGAAAATTAATTGACTTTTCAATATATTCTAAAAATGTTTTTCCAGTATATTATCGGTATAGCTTATCCCATAAAATCAACAAATTTGATGAACAATATAATATAATGTGTGAAATAAACATTCAAAAATTATGTATGTTTATAAATCATTATCTTCGGAAAAAATATAGATTTTGAAGAACAACTTGGAAAATTGGCTTTTATATGACTTTAATAGTGAAAATAGAATAAGTGATACGGAGTATTATTTTATTTCAGATATCTTTTTAAAATGCGAAGATGTTAAAAATAAAAATTAAGCAGACCTTGCATGTTCAGATCTGCGGGGTTTTATATGAATTTAGTTTTTGACCGTGGATTTGTATAAAAAAGAAGCTTTTCTGTCAGAAAATAAATTTTATTTATCAGATCTGGCGCTTCAAGATCTGTATAGTTTTAGTTTTCGTTGAACTGAAATTTTTGGTTTTTTTGTGTGTCTCAAAAGAGATGCAGAGAAGAGGTTTTGTGTTGCGGTGTTTGTGCATGTTAAGTTAGTCTCAGGGTGTGTGTTTCGGTGTGTCGTGGGCATAGAAAGGTTACCTGTGTGTCTGATGTATGACGCTGGGAGTCCGCAGATGTAGGTTGCGGACGGTGGCTCATTTTTTGGTATGATGGTCGCTGCTTTTTCTTCTCCGATCTTCGAACGTCTGTTGGATGTAGGGGTTTCGGCCAAAATCTGTGGGTGGATTTGTTGTATGGGTGTAACGCGGGAGATCTTCGTTGTTGGTCCTGGACGGAAGTTGATTTCGGAGGTGGTGAAGGGCGTTGCGGATGTGAACCGATCTGTTAGGGTTGTTAGTAAGGGAGGCAGAGTTTGGGTGTTGGCGTGGAATATAAGGCTTGGGTTTGGGCTGGGTTTATTTTCTTTGGGTCGGCCCTTACAATTTGATCCATATTTAACAATGGGCTAAATTGTTTTGGTTTGAAGTAAATAGTGGAAATTACCCGTATGATCCACTTTTGCACACCACATATCATTTATGTCCCAATCATGTTTTCTTTTCATTTTTAATCTTTTCTGTTTTTCAATTTTGTCTTTCTATTTCAATTTTAGACTCACCGCCTTCAGGAAGAATAATACGGAGTATAACGGAGAGACGCAAGTCGGAAGCGAATGACGAGTTCCAACTCACAGACTTCAAATTCCTGTCGTTGAAAGTCCTGGAGAGCGAATGACGAGTTCCAACTCTCTTCTCAGGCAAGAGGATTCCATGGCTAGAATTGGACATCGCCAATGGAGTTATGCTCGAATTCTCAATTTGGTCAATAAGCCTCTCCTGGTTCAAGTGAGACACATCCGTCTCCTTCTCTCAGATCCCTCAAGCTCAGTTGATTTTATTGCTTAAAAATAGTTCAAGTTTTAGATTTTGTCGTTAAAACTACTCTGGCTTTACTTGCCTTACACAATTTGATAGCAGATATATTAACGAAGGTTTCCCGTTATGTGATGGTTAGGGTTTTAGAAGTCAATGCACATGATAAAATGCTTCAGATGCTTCTGAAATATTTGACCGAAATTGCTATGTTTCTGGCCGAGGATTCAGTGCACTTTTGTTTGCATTCAGTGCGCAGATTTTGTGAACAAATATTTGATTCGTATAGAGGATCATCTGAGTGAGATAATATATGGAAGGTAAAGTCCACCTAACTATCACTACTAGAAAAATGGCTTACAGTGACACTTTTATAGTGACACTTTCTGATAAAATGACATCAATGATATAAAAGTGTCACTATTTTTTAACAAAAATACATAAACATTATACAGTGACACTTTCATTTTTTTACGGAGTATATTTAAAGGCCCGCGTCACTATTCATTCATATTACTTACGGGCCGGCCTGCTAGAGTTTATTATACGGCCAGAGTAATACACTTCGCACTTCCCCCATTCAGCTTTCCTCTTCAAGGCACACAGAAGCAGATCCTCTCCTCCACCGGGCAATAGATCGTCGCCGCCTTTGCTCCCCTGTCGCCTCCGTCGATTCTTTGGCCGTCTCTGTCGCCGTCTCCATCGTCTTGGGAAACCCAAGCATTTCTGACCGCCGCAGTGCCTGTTGAAATTCCTCCTCCTCTCGCACTGACGAACCGCTCAAAGGAAATCCATCCACTGCAAATATTGGTCCGGAGTGCTCACGAAGCTAGAATCCAGTCGCTGATTTCCCATTTTGCCGCTCCCAATAAGCCCACTTCAGCTTCCACTGCAAATTTTCAGCTACCACCTGAAAATTTGGGGCTTTCTCAAATTGAAAGCTTGAGGTATCAACCCTAACTCCTTTAACCTTTCATTTCCCTTGAGATTTTCATTCGCCAATAATCATGATAATATATCCATAATATTGGAATTTACAATGAAATATTCATGATAATATATCCCTACAAATTTTCATTTGCCACTTCATTTTAGACGCCAGACACTCATGGTATGCTAGATTGATCTTTAGACATAGCACAAGTTGAGTTAATCTTAATTAATATCTATATATGTTGAGGTACTAATATGGTTAATTAATTGCATGTAGGTTCCCTGGTATTGTTATCTTCTCTTAGGCTTTGTTGATGTCCAAGGAAACTATCTTGGTAAGGCCATATATAGGCATATAGCTGCTAGTTTGCTTAAAAAGTTACTATCTTGATAAGGTCATATATATTTGAGTTTCCTTATTTTTTT